ATATATGTGTTTCCACATTTACACATACTTGTACAGGTGTATGCAGGCGGAATATGTATCATTGTGTGATCTCGGTTCTTTGGAGCGTTCTCGGGGCAAGGCCAAGACCAGCACGCTGCAGGCCTCGGCCGGCGTAAATGCCCCGGGCCTGGCTGTCACCAGCACCAGGCATCAGGGTTTAGGGTTTAGGGTTTATGGTCAGTATCTTGTTCTATCTGCATGCATGTATGGATGCTGTTGTAATGGTAGCGACCATAGTAGTAGTCGACGAGTGGAGGTAGATCGGTAAATGTAAGAAGAAAGAGCTATCGTGTGTGAGAGAAGGAAGTCGGTTTTTGGAAGCCTTCAGCTTGACAATGGGTCTCCCTCACAATAACCACGATCAGACTCAGAATCATATTTATAGCTATAAGCAGATAAGTAACCATGGTTACTGTAGTTGTGATGCTAGCAATGAGCCTGGCCGGTGCAATCTGAGGGCAGGGCAGCTTTGCTCTACGTGGAAGATTCTTACTTCCCCATCTGACTAGTAGTAGTCTGACTAGTATTAGCAATAATGCTTGTATGTAATACTCACAGTAAATCTAATTAATAGCAATAGCACGAATAGTAATAGTAACAATATGAATAATCACAATAATAATACTAATATTAATAATAGTAAGAATGATAATAACAATAGCATGAATGGTAATACTACCAATACGGACAAGCTCTTCCATGCAAATGTCGCCAACCTAATCGCAACCGAGCGAGCCTAGACTGGCAAGCTGGCGGGCGCCATTACCGCACGCCTGCGGAGTGGCTCGGGCTGCATTGTGGATGGAGCCCGGGCCCTGGACGGGTCAGATTCATCATTTGTAGGAGGGTATTTGTGAGAGAGAATTCGACGTAGGTGTCGGCCGAAAGAAATCAGGATGCAAACCGTAATCAGGATCCATAGAATCAAGACCCGATGCAACACTTGGATGCCGGGTGGGATGCTTCTGAGCACTATGTGACTGGCTGCAAAGCTGCATGAGCAGCAGCGACAACGATGACGGCACAGCCACGACTATACTGCCTATGTCTAGGTAAGTAGTGCAAAAAAAATGCATGCTGTGGATGCCACGGTAGTGCGGAGCCATGCGGCCACGTGATGTGGAACAATCCAAGAATTTCTAAACAACGTCTGGTAACAACTGCAAGGGAGCAGCCTCTGTCAGCCGATCACATTACTACTAGACTCAGCAGTTGCAGCAGAAGCTTCAGAAGAAGCGTAGTATTGTCGCAAATTCCTGCATACAAGTGCTTTACGATCGAGGAGCGAGACTGTAGTCCATAAAACGTTTTATTTTGAAAGAAGCAGAAGGAGAAGGAAACGGACAAGGCATTTAGTCTCCGTTGTTGTTGCTGTTGCTGGTCATCCTGTTTGAAAGACTGTAGCGAAAGCAGACCGTAAACGTCTAAGCCCAACAACCAACACTGTCAACCCTGAGCCACCAGGACACCGTGCACTGAGGCTGCTCGTAATAAGGTTCCTTTGTAGAGCGTTTAGATCGTGAGCTTCTGGTTTAGAATGCCAGTTTGTGTATCTGTGCGGCATGACATTGAAGGTGATGATGATTCAAACTGAATTATTCGTACCTCTTGCTGTCTTGCTTTATCCGTCTCTTGGCCCTTGATTTCATTTCCAAGATCGGGCCCAGCGCGACGTACAGCGCTCTGAAAGCTATCAAGATTGCTGGCGATTATGTGAACGAGGCCCGCTTCCGGTATTGGTACTGGTAAACGCCCTGCTGCCGTCGTTGCTATGGTGTGCGTGAACCCTAAACCCTAAGCCCTGAATAACTCAGAGAAACCCAGAGAATCCAGACTGCGGGGCTTCCTGCTATGATTTAGGTGCGTGTCTCAACTACGGACAATACCCTAGCATGAATGGGGTCTGTCTGTTCTGACTTACAGCTTAAGTGTACTCCTCATCATTTGGGCTTTCCGGGTACCTTAGACCTGCCAATTATTCAGGTCCCTATGTTGGTTTCCGTTGATCTTTCAATAGAGATCACCTGCTTCGAGCTGTACGGAGACCTTCCCGGTTGTATGGGCAATGGGTCAACGATATGGATGGCTGCGTTGACGATGCTCTCGACTGCTGGAATACACCACGTCAGCCCAGCCGAATGGATTTGCACTTTAACATCATGTGTCGGGCCGATGTCGACATGATGCAGCACCGTTGCATGAGAGGAAACCACCGCAAAAAGTGCCATTCTCGAGAACTCGAAGCCCCGCGATCTTGAATGACCAGCCACCCCAAAAGAAGAAGCCAAAACCACTTAGCCACGTTGTGCGCGAATGCAGGAGTTTAACGGGAAAGTGCTGGCCATCCACCCTGTGATGGCCCAGGGCTTGGCATGCGACTTCCAGTTCTTGCGATCGTCGCAGTGTTGACAGGCGGTTGTGAGGTTAATGTAGGAACCTGATGAAGAAACCCTGGCCAAAAATATTGGGATTCATATGATCAACCCTGATGAAGACCCGAGGTTTCTAAATCAGGTTCCTCTATCATGAAATAAGAGGAGTGCTGATATTGACGTCTCAGCTGGAGCCAGTACTGTTAGTCAGCATAGCAGCACAAGACAAGCACGTGGAAATTCAATCTTTCAGAATCGAGCTGCCTGCAGAAACTGCAGGCTAAGTTGCCCGAGCGGCTGGCACCTTCGGGCCGGACGACAGCCACGATGCTGCAGGGGCCTTGTGGATACAGCGGCAGGAGATAGCCGGGATTTTAAGGTTTAGGGTTTAGGGTTTAGGGCCTATAGGGTTTAGAGTTTACGTTCTAATCTTTAAGGTCCTTTACCAGCGATGATGTTTTACAAGTTTGAAGAGTCATCTCCGCTGTGGTGATGGCTTGCTCCTGCCTGTTTGCCGAAGCCAGGCAGCGTCTTCGCGTTGCTGCCGTGATGCCGGTGGAAGACAAGGATCTGTTATCGAGGGACTTGAAGTGAATCTCTGGAACCCTAGACCAGTGTCCCTAAACCTACCTTTGAGTGAGGAAAGCAGCCGAAGGGTTGTGGGCTCTGCGGGTAGCTTCCAAGGAACGTTGCAGCCGATCAGAAGAAAAGACGGTTAGCCTTGAAGAAGTTGTTGTTCTAACGTGAGCTGGATCCTAGGCTAACAGGGTATCGCGTTGCACTTCAATTCTTGCAGCACTTGAGGAGGCACCCCGTCACTAGAGGACCCCGAAAACCTCCGTCCCTTGCAGCTCGTGAAAGCCCGTGGCCCGCGCTCTCTCTCTCTCGCTCTCTCTCTCTCTCCTTCGCTCTCT